GCACCTATCCGAGCGCCCTCCCCCCCCCCCCTTTCCATTCCTGTAGCATGTCTTACTTGCTTGCTGGTCTACTAGTAAGCAACCTGGGGCTTGCTTAACAAGCCATGACCCGCACATAACAGCACGAGGAGTGCCAGGATTATGATCACTGAGCAATGTAATCACTTGCTTCATGATTGCATCACTCACTGATGGAAATTCTAGTCCCTATTACCATGTTTAACTGATGACTATCTATTTTGATTTTAGCTAGTAACCATTATCTGACAAAATATTTCAATATATACTTTTAAACTTTGAAATGTTTACTCATCTTTAGTCTCTATAATCTAATCCTTCCCCTATGTAGTAGTTTAATCTTAGTTTCTTGATATATTTCTGATCAATTAAAATAGGCATTGTTATTTCAGCAGTTATAGTTATTTTTCTTCTAAAATAGTTATGAGAAAACTAAATAAATATGAACTGATTATTTGTAGACAATTGTTTCTTGGAATTAAAACAAAATTGTCTTCTTTTGCTTTCAATGTTACTTCCCCATTTAAAAATTAATGTCAATTAATATATTCAGACATTCAGATACCTGTTTCAGACATTTGTATTTTAAGAAAATGATAGATAACAGTCGCTTTAGTTGGTATTAACTGGCAGAATGTTCTTGGATGTGTTGGCTCTCTTTGATGTTACAATTTTAGTGAGTAACACTTAATTTAAAAAAAAATTCACAGCGATAAATGAAATAAATATTGTCCATGCATTAATGGTCCATTGAGCTATTTAGTTTATTTGGATAACAAAAACAGAATTCTATTAATAATCAACTGTGGTAATTGGATGCAGTGAAAATCTTGTAAATTTGAATGTGCACTAATGAAAACAAATAAAATTCTATTTGCTACTATTGATTGCAAAACACTATATCTTCAAAGGGAGAAGCTTTAAAGCAGCAAGAATTTCTTTAAAACAAGTAAGAGCCTGTAAAATTGACTTAAGGAATTAATGTCTAATATTTTAATTCAGAGATGTGTATAGTAATACGCAATGACATGGGTCATGACATTATTGGACAATTATGTAGGATATTGTCTATTCATAGAATTCCAATGAGATTTATTTAATGTGTGCCTGAAGAGTGCATCTGTGTCTAATGTTTGGAGTAGTGCTGTTAGTGATCCTGATACAAAGATAACAAAGGGGTAACAATAAGCAATATTTTAGAAGGGCACTATAGCTTATATTTGGTATAGAGGGTGCAGACCAGATTATTGCCCTTCACCACAGAGAGTCCCTAAATTAAGAATGAATTCCATTCCTAACTCTGTCTTTAACTGAAATGTATATGGAAGTTGGAAGACATACTTGAAATGGGGTGTCTATTACTAAAAATAGCAGACAGCATTGTCCTTCCTAGAGTCAATAAACTGCTGAACAATGCAATGTTTTTATGAACTGCTGAATGGTGCATTTATATATATATATATATATATATATATA